AATAGTGTACAATTTTCGGTCACAAGCTGGTAAACAGTGCAATAAAAACACCATATAGGCAAAAATATTCTAAACAAAGGAAATTCAGAATATACATTTTGTAGATAAATGACCCAGGAATAGTATACAAAGTAATGAATGTTGTGAAAAATGTTTCTCTTCGCATAGAAAAAGAACATCAGAACCGAGGTGCTGCTTTGCTCGTTCCTTGCGGTGAAGCACTACATGGTTTTTGTGAGACACAAGTGTACTTGTACACTTTTTATCAGTAAATCTTTATTCTGTTACAATAAGAGTCTCCTGGTGTTCCTATAGAGGTGGATGGATGCCCATGATGTGAATAATCCCTCTATAAATAAGATACCCAATGAATTTTAATATTTTATCTAGCGTAACTTCTTAATATGAGCCGCGCACCTTACCCCGCATAGGTTGGCGTTCCAATATATGCATCCAAGCATATATTTTTTTATTTTCGCGCATATCATATCAAAAAAAAAGGACAATATCGCCGCAGTTATAAAACGTTTCGCACTGCTTCGTAGTCAGGGCCGAGATTTGCTCCAGAAGCCTTCTAGTTGTTAGAAGCTCTGCAGCCAGCGCCAGCACACTGCACCACAGTGAAGTGCAAACCACGCACGTAATCAGAGTAGCTATAAGATTAAGCGCAAAGGTGAGAAACTATGCGCACTTGCGGCGGGGGAAACTACTTGAGGATGTAAACAAAACAAACCCATGAACGGCTGTGGATGTATCAGGATGACGCAAAACATCGTCGCCACAAAACTTGAAGCTGATGTGCTGTCATCCTCGCACGCTAAGCTCGTCGTCATTAAATTCAGGTGAGGTGGCAAGGCAGTTTCGAGCAGCGGATGTGTTTTTGAGCGCTGATGCGCACCCATGTATGTGCGCGTGACGACGACATCATAGGTGTGACTAGTGACACTAGATGCAGCCCTGTGTCTGATATAACGATGCAAGCAAAACAGAAACTGCTTGAAACTGTCATAGAAGGCCACCTCGACACTTTAAACTCGCGGCGGACCTTCGCAAATATTTTTTTGTAGAACACATTTTTCCTGACTCTTAGGAACAGCTTCCTATTGAATATGTGGCATAAATTTTTGGCTATCATTACTGCTCAACATAGTCAAATTGCGAAGCTGACACTTGAATTCGACATTTGGCTTGCAAAGGTTCTTTTCATTACAGTACTTCTATGTTGCTGTACCATAATCACTAGGTGCACGCACTTTTGTCAAGTTCGCCAGCCTAGTGCACTTTGTCAACCATGCACGTACATTGGTTCGCGCAAAAGCCTGTCAAAAATCACTATGTTGCCGAAACGGCCAAATTCATATTGATTCTGAAAGTTCAGTGCCTGTAATAACTACTAGAGAGTACTGGGCGCATGAGAAACAAATTTAACATGCCAAAATCGATTATCCAAAAGCGTCGATCGGCGGTGATAGATTTGAATAGGCGTGGTAACGAAAGAGTTAACCTGAACACCTAGTCTGTTCCCTTCATCCGGGTCACGACCCCGCGACATGTGGTGGAGATGCTGCTCCTTCCATGTACCGGACGCCACCGTCAAGCCATGAAGCCAGCTCCAGTCATGAAGACATCGACTACAACCCCGAGCGGCGAACAAGCCGCAGGCAACAAGGTCTACCGCCAGAGTTCGGGCCTCTACGTGAGAAGACCCGGAAGATAAGACCATGACCATGGCCGCAGCAACGATGACAGAACGTGTGCCGCGTGTACCGTTCCGGCAACCCAAGGAGCCTCCGACCATCCATGGTTCAGCCCTTGAAGACCCGGAAAGCTGGCTGGAGGTATTCGATCGAGTCGCCACTTTCGATACCTGGACCAGCGAAAATAAGCTTCATCGTGTGTATTCCGCCTTACGAGATGCCTCTCGTACATGGTTCGAGAACCAAGAGCGAACCCTGACAACATGGGACACATTCCGCACAAAGTTCCTCGCTACATTTACGAGCGTTCGCAGCTACATTCACCCATTCGCAGCTCCCAAACAAAAACATGTCGCTCTTCGCAGAAGAGATGACCAAACGCTTCCATCGCGCCGACCCCGAGATGCCTGAAGGCAAAAAAAAATTGCCTGCAGCTTCCCTCGGGGGAACACTGAGGAGGATGCGGACCATATAATTGGTTAACGGGGTGTTAAAGTGCGACTTACTTGGGTCGATGGCTAAATTGGTTAACGTGGTTGTGAAATGGGGTGTTAAATTGCGACTTACTTGGGTCGATGGCTAAATTGGTTAACGTGGTTGTAGGAGGGGGTGTTAAATGAGTGAACACGTACACACGTATGCGGAAGGGCGGTGGTGGTCGAAGGGACGTCGATCATTGTGTTTGTGGATTCGTTGGAATTCATTTCACCGCGACCTTGGACGTCGACGCGCCGTACAAACCAACCGACGAGCGGCAACTGAGCGAGCGAGCGCCGACCTTGAGTATATATACAGCACGACGGCGCATGCACTGTCAGCTGTTGAATGTTCTCGAAGCGCGACGCCACAGAGAGAGAGAGAGAGAGATTAATGAAAGAGGAAGAGACAAAAAGGACGCTATTTTCTGCCTCCCGTCGCGGGGGCACGGCTCAGCGCCTTTAGGGATCGGGGAAGGGGAAGTAAAGATGATATACGCCACATGCGCGTCCACTGGAGAATCAGGAGAATTGTAGATGTCGAACGCGGTGTGTAGAGGAGGAAGGGTGCACAGATGGTGGAGGAGTGAAGCGCGCGCGGTGTGTAGAGGAGGAAGGGATGCACAGATGGTGGAAGAGTGAGCGACGGCGCGACGGCGCATGCGCGCGCGTCAGCTGTCGAATGTTCGAGAAGCGGTGTGGACGGCGCGGACGACGCGGACGGCGCACTACAAGGCGCGAGTATAAGATGCTCCGCATCTAAAAACATTCGCTTCCTCGTGCGAGGAGTAAAGCAGGAGCTGCTCGCGGGTCCGACGCAAAACCCACCGTTCACTGTCCAGGCATTCATATCCGAAGCGACGACGATTGAAAAGACGCTCGAGATGCGTACCTGACAATTGAATCACCGCTTGACGCCAGAGTACACAGAAGTTGAACCACTCGGCTCCGACGACCTGCGCCAGACTATCCGAGTGATCGTGCGGAAGAAGCTGCACAAGCTGTTACTCTCAGCACAGCCTCAAGTGGACTCGACCGCCGACATTGTCCGCGAAGAAGTTCGGCAGCGACTTTGCGTTTCCAAAGCACCGCAGCCTCAGCCGCAAAGCGATGAGCTACACTGTTGCAACCCGACGCTACGCTCCACCTTCACGCACACATCAAGAGGCCGTACCACGGAGGAAGGCGACACGATGGCGGCATCTACCTGTCGCCTTGCGTTCTACACCTTATCACCTCTGAGACGGGCACGCACACCCGTCTCATAGCCACGCGCTTTGTTCTCCAAGAAAACTTCCAGATGGCGCTCATGTCTCACATGTGACGTGACTTGATGTGCTCGTTCGATTCCGCTGCACGCTCGAGGCATTCTAACACTGCGCTTCCAGAGTACCATTCACCGATTTTCTTGCGCAGAATATGAAATAAATGTTTTGTTCACTCTCTTCACACGCAAGACTATCGTCTTTAGGCGATATTTGCAGAATAGCATGCACGATACGGGACTAATTTTTTTTTTCTGTCAAGCGCTGGTCGGCGGCTGCCGCTGAACACATGGCTGACCAGTAGATCATGTGCGTTGGTGGTGGTTGACATACAGATTTGCAGCGTTATTGGGCTTGTACATTTTTTTTTCTTTTTTGTGCGCTGATAAGTACCTAATAAAAGAAAAGTCCACAGCCGGTTTCTGCCCGCACAGACGCAAGTATTTTCAGAGAACAGAACCAGCCTTCTGAAGTGCGCAATCCCAGATCTGCGTAGTATAAAAATAAATTTCCGAGGAGGGTTTCGTAACATGTAATCGGGCACCGCGTAATAGCTGATGCTTTCGTTTGACGTACTGACAGAGCTATGGAAAACAAAGAGACAGGCACTTCTTTTTTTGCTGCTAATGTGCCATTTGAAGTATACCAGCTCTCTGCTAAAGCGTGAAAATCATGAGCACCGATATAAGTATTATCTGTCGCATGCCAAGACGCTCATTAGCACGACGTCGGACCGACGGCTCTGTAGAGTTCTTTGGCGCAATACATATGGTTAGTGAGCACCACGATGCATACCACTCGATCTAAAGTATTCCTGAGCGCTCGCTGTTCGTCCGTAGCCGCAACACAGCAAGCGGAGCTCACTTTGCGTGGCCATTGTCAGACACCGGCTTTCCCCGGTAAGTAAGCGGGGACAAAACGCGCCAAGTTGCCACATTAGCGCTGCGCACTCTGAGTGCGATAGGCTTCAAAGCGTGTGTGTTTACGTCGATTCCAAGGCAGTAGACGTTGTATACGCTCTCATATACCAGTGCACACTTTTGTGATTTCGTGTTATACCAATTTCGATAATAAAACGATCAGCCATGTTTGTTTTTTTTTTCGCATTGTTGTGTACAGTCATTCAACACTCGCAAACTTTCGAAGTACCTGTTTTCTTTAGTGCAAGTTGTCAAACAGCCAAGTAGCAGTGGTTGTGCACAGGCAGTGGCGGGAAGCACAGACGACAAGGGCGTTCATGGTTGCATAAGAAATTTTATTGTTATTTAATGCCGTTCGCGAGTGTTGATATTACTGCTATACAACGATAAGAAAAAAAACATGGCTGATCCCTACGTCACGGGGATCAGTACAACACGAAAGTAGAACGTGTAATCACAAAAGCAGTTGATCGTTTACTGTATACTGAAATACGAGAGCATTCACAATGTCTGCTGCCGTATGGCGACTATGGAATCACTATTCGGCGCGGATGCACCCGTCTTGATGGTTTAACCACTGCGCTATCTGTTAACATTTTTGAACACCAGAAGGCATAAAAAAACACATAATAGGGTCGTCACCTCAGTTCTTGCGGCAGTCTTCGAAGCCGCCCGTGTCGGAATCGTCCTGGTCGCCCATCATGGGCCGGTGGACTGGCGTGTCGCCGTTCGCCCGGGAGTTCTGCATCTGGTACCAGCCGCCGTTGACGGTCGCTGCACACCATATACCGTTTCATCGTAAGCCGAATTGCAGGTCGCCGTACAAAAATACCATTTCGGATAACGTCCAATGTTCTCTAGAAAAGCTGAGAAAACAAGTCCGCAATACGTATTGCGACGTTCAGTTATTTCTTAAGTAAAAGGCCGTTACCACAAAAGCCCGTTGCCCACGCTGGGCTCAGGAAACACCGCAATGTTTGCCAAACTTCTCAATAATCTTAGAATGTTCCGTTGTATTGCATGCACAGCACAAGCAGTCATGTTTATTCTAGAGCACTTCTGCAGTTATAGCACGGACACCTGCAAAAACGCTGGAATTCTCGTCAATTCAGCGCGATCTGCCGACGATCACATCACCGACTGCCAGTGATTGTAATCGCCGCCGTCTGAGTACAACGTGCATAGCTAACACACTGAGTTGCTCTTCACTGATCGGCCGATAAAGAGTTTCCTCTGCACCAGAGTGACAGCCACTTCTGCAGACGATGTACCGGCAAATGTTACGTGAACCAACTGACGTATACAGGGTGCGCTATCGTACAAATATCGGTTCAATAATAACAGTGGGCGCAACTAGCTGCGGGATAATAGCTATTTGATTGCTTCAATAATTAATTTCTCTGTAACAAATACTTGAACAAACGTTTAATATACTTAAGGCTGATGCGTGAGTGCACATTTTTAACACAAAGGTGTGTTTTTTTTTGTTATCCGAGTGTCCACCACGGCTCCCCTGACGTACTTTTGTCACGGATATGACGTTGTAAAAATATATACTAACGAATAAGGTAGAAAGAATTTCATTTAATGATCCAGAGAAGTTCCACCTCTCAGGGCGACACGGCAGGCTGCTCTAACGCACTAACGGATTGCAAAAAAAAAAAACCTAAAAGAAAGCTCCGTCACTGGGCGTCGAACCCACGAGCTTTCGCTCCGCAGCGCGCGGCGGAAAACCATTAGGCCGCAAGACGTTAAGTTCTGCAACTCACTAATGGCAAGCTATTTATATGCCAATTGGTAGTCTTCAGAGACTTGAGCACGTTTTCGTCATCACTAGCGAGTTCACTCGAAGGTAGCACGTAGGGCGCGCTCTAAAGATCGTCGCCCTGGCCGTTGCTATGAGCACGGGCTTGTCTCGTGATATGGGTGCGCTGTTGGTTTTCACTGCCGTTTTACTTTGAAGCGAGGTCACTTCTCTAGTCTCAACGGCTGCTCACACCCGAAGAAGTTGTCACGGTTGTTCGCACTCGTACTGTGTGTGCTCTTGCGTTTGTTTCACGCGTCTTTGTGTTCAAGTGTCGACCTGTGACAGTTGTTAGTCCGCACTAATCCAGTCTACGCTCATTTTCTACGTCTTTTCTGCTTGGGGTGCGCGCTGGAAGTTCCAAGCTGCTTGCTGTTCTTCGCGGGACATTACAATTTGTCGCTGCAGCATTCATTTCGTCGCCCTTGTGGCGAAATAATGCCCAATAAACACCCAACAACTTCAGCAAAACACATTTCGTTTTCATGTCGTACCAATTCCCACTTTAACACACTGGAAACATCTAGGTTCGATGCTGTCCAACTCAATGAACTTCAAAACTGCCCACGTCTCTTTTGTTCGCGTTTCCAGAAAACTACAGCTGTGCAGTTCAACGCGGTAAGTCGGCCTGCTTCGCACAAGTGACATCATTGAAAGGTGTGTACGTTTGATCGAAGATGCGTGCTCCCCCAGGGGGCTTTTGGCATCTTGGTTCCAAAAGATGACACGTTTCTGCTGATAACATGCACCTATAGGCACATGTTTGTTGTGGAAAGAATGTTTGTGGAAGTATAGTCACAGGCATGATAAATCACTAATATTACCCGTAAAATTATGTAATTTATTGTCGCAGATAAGTAAATGTGAGGACAATACTGTAGATACTGAATTTCGAATAGAAAATAATTTTCGCGGCTTTCTGAATCACCGTTATGCTTCGAAGTTGTGCTAGAACATGCCGTTTGGTGAATACATTTTAAAATCTCGGGTATTTCCACTGGCCAACCACGAATTTCTACTTCACCGATATCTGCACCCATATCGACACGCTTTATCAGTGAGCGAATTTTCGCAGAATGTAAGTGTCCCTACCGGGCATGGCGGCTGAGTGTCTTCTGCGCAGACAGGTGTGGTAGAGGAACAGAAAGAGCAGGCCCGTACAGGCACACACGACGGCCACGCCGCGGAACGTGGCGCGCTGACCGAACTTGGCATTCAGGAAGAAGCCCGTAATGGTTCCCGTCCCACGGCCTGCAAGAGGGGGACAGCAGTGAGCGCCGAAGCGTCGGCCAGCCAGTGACGTACCGATGCAGAAGTGAAGAATAATGAGGATGCACTGTATGGTGAGCCTCTGGGTGGAGGGCACCACCTTCTGGGCGTACGCGACCAGTGCGACCCAAAGCACGGGCAGCGTGAACGTCTCCATGGCCTCGAAGGGCGTGATCCACCAGCGGGCCGTGACGAAGGAGAGCCCGGCGGCGCGCGTCGCGTAGAAGAGGAAGCCGAACACGATCAGGTTGGCGCGCCCGATGTTGCGCACCAGGTTCTTGGCGATGGCCAGGAAAGGAAGCGCGCAGCCCATGGGCAGCGCCAGTGACAGCGCCACCAGCAGGTGAGTGGCGCCCATTTCGGCGTACATCCAGTGGAGGTACGTCTCCAGGTAGCCCCACACCGTGCCTAGCACGAGCACGACCAAGAAGAGCACGCTCGTGTCCAGCGAGCAGAAGCGGGGCTCTTCGCCGAGTCCATAGTGCAGGCCGACCTTGTTGTCCTCGACGGCGGGCAGGAAGAGTGCCAGAATGCACGAGACAAGCGCGAGCCCATCGAAGACGAACACCGCCGGCGAGTAGTCGTCACTCAGCTCACTGTCGAGCAGCACGCCCGTGACGAGCGTGGATACGACGACGCCCAGCGCGGCCCAGAACTTGATTCGTCCGTAAAGACCTGTGAAGTCGTTGATGGAGAGCACCGTCACTGCCTCGACGAGGTACAGGGCAGTAACCAGCCACACGTCGGCAAACACCCGCAGCGCCAGCGTGGCCCAGAAAGTGAGCTGCGGATCACCCTCCACCTGAATGCAGCGCGCCGACTGCATGCGTCTGCCGAGGTTGTCGGCCACCGCCACGGAGCAGCGGATGGTGCAGCCGTCGGGTTGCGGCCGGCACTCGTAGTCGTCGAACTGCTTCTGGTTGACCACGATGGGCGCGAGAAGGTCGAAGCTGCACACGTCCACCAGCTCGTCACCGCTCCGCCCTGGATGCTCAATGAATTTGGACACGCTCACGTCGGCCAGCGTGCGCGCAGTCTTGGCCAAGAAGCTGGCGCCAAACTCGGTCGTGGAGTTGTCCCGCGTGCCGGCCTCGTGGATGATGCACAGGTTGCCCTCGTGGCTGAGAAAGCAGAAGTGTATGGGCTGCCTCACGCTGCGGTTGCCGCCGCACTGGTAGTGACAGTTGGACACTCGGAACGTAGCCAGCCCAAGCGGGTTCAGCTCGGACGCCGTGCAGGCGTCCCACTCGGGGCAGCGCTCCAGGTACAAGCCCGAGGGGCAGTCAAACTCCAGCAGCGGGCTCCGCGGGATGCGCACCACGGGGGGCACGGCCAGGAGCGCCGAATAGCCCGATGCCGCCAGCACGAGCGACAGCACCAGCGAGGACCGGTAGGCGCGCCGCTTTTCGGCCACCAGCCCAACGAGCACGGGACCCAGCAGGCTGGCGAACGCGGCTGCTGTGGTCACCAGGACAGCCTCCTCGTCCGAGAGGCCGACGGTGCGCAAGTGCAGGTTCAGGAAGGGACTCAGGCTGCCCGTGGCTGCGAACGAGTTGCGTTACTATCGACAACACGATACTGTCATGATTATAATCGTATTTATGACAGCAATCGTCAATTCTCTCTGAGGCTGAGCACGCGCCACAAAACTGGACCAACCGTAGTCGGCAGTGACACCTTATAGTTATAGCGTATCGAAGCGTGCTATTATTCGTTACTGTCCAATGTACGAGTTCCTCTGTTTCTTGGGCGAGTTTGTCATTCCTTCTCAGAAGGGTCACGGATGGTAGACAGGGTCTAAAAGAAGGCCAACAGACAAAAAGTGCTACCTTCTCTGTGTCCGTGTGCCTTGTTTTAGTCCATGTCTACTAGCTCTACCCTGCCAAGAACGCACGAATTCTGTCGTTCTATTCTGCGAGGTTGTCGTCACCACAAGTTCAGCTGCTTGATTTTGAAATTGCATCTTCGATGTTAAGGTTGGTGAGACTATTTCTAACACTAAAGTGTTTTATTCCTTGGTCCACCAGGTTTCGGCGACATAATTCCGTCACTAAAATGACGTCGAAAATGCGCACAATTCTATGGTAAAGCAACTCTTCGATGTCTTCTTACGTGTGCACCACATTCAGATAATTAAACATGTGTCGCTCCTTGCCGTATTATTATGATGGCTAGAAGGGGCTACACCTAATCACCACAACACCAAAAAAGATATATATATTGCCAATGTCTGCCAAATAAACACTTTAAGCACATGTTACGGGGTCTAGTACGAGGAAGTATACAGCCATTTCAAGTTAATAATTTCAAAACAGGTTGCGTCGACATGAGAACACTCACCGGCAAAGAAAGAAAAAGAGACGGCCATGAGCGGAAGCAACTTCCGCAGACGAGGGCTGACCATCATGGCCTACGCTTCCGGTGGTCCTCGCGCCTGCATGGTGACAGCAGAGATTTCATTGTGATTGATCAATTTAACCGTCTCAACTTAAGAACACTTACATCTGGCTTAGTGCTAGCACCGTGGCCGCACATCATTGAAGACGAAAGTGAATTTTAATGAACACAAATTTAATGAAGATAAAATAAATGGTTTGACGAAGCATCATCTGGTCGGGAAGAAGCAAGAAGGACAACCGAAATGAAAGGACGCCGACCAAAATGAAAAGGTTTAAAAAAAACGTTAAAAATGACGTTTCGGCTACCCTACGGTAGCCTTGGTCACTGTAAAGTGGCCCAGCGAAGTGGGCTTATGTCTGTTTTAGAACGCTTCCGAGACGATCAACGAACCTGGTGGCAGAGCGCCACCAGACCGTGTACATGCCGTGTGTGTACCTGCCCGTAAACTGAAACACGAACTGGTACACATGAAGGACCCGCTCAAGAAAGAAAAGTTCCCAGGTATGCTTATAAAGTCCCGTGTGCGGACTGCGACTATGTATATATCGGGGAGAGTGTTAACTTTGAAGGACGGCTGAAAGACCACATGAATGACGTCAGAAAGAAGAGCGTGGTATCCAGAGCACTTGCGGAACACGTGGCTGCATCTAATCACGAGATTGGGTCAATGCGACGATAATCGCAAAGGGAAGAGACTGGTATTCGCGTCAATATCTGCAATCTCTTCTCATCCAGACTACAAAAAAAAACTGAACAGAAATGATGGCAATATACCAATAGCGTATCGGCAATCTACCGCCCGGTGTTTTGGCAGCGTTCTAAAACAGACATAAGCCCGCTTTGCTGGGCCACTTTACAGTGAACAAGGCTAGCGTACGGTAGCCTTAACGTAATTTTTAATGTTTCAAACCTTTTCATTTTGTCCGGCATCATTTCATTTCGTTTTTACTTCAGATCTGTATCTTATTGTCATTTCCACAGGGTTGAGTCATTATAGAGCACATCTCATAGATCGTGAGTGCATAAAAATACCATTACGGATTTTATCCGGGATGCAAGCATGCTGTATGAACTGAACTATGCCCTATAGACTAGGCTCATGCTTTATACGCCCCAGATTGTTTTACATGTACATAGTACTTCTGATTGCGTTTTTATTATTTTTCTCATATCTGTGTGGATCTTGAATATTCCTACACGCATGTTGATATTGCTACACACATACATGCAGCAAGATTACTACCATGAAGATGGAATAGCCTGTTCTAACGGCACCTATCTTCCCACAATTTTTCGCATACTACAGGTTCGAAGAAAGCGATATACACATCGAACCCGTCGAAGAAAGCGGTATACACGTTCACACGAGTGACGGGGAGAAAATAGCGAGTGTATAGGCACCAACCGGATCCTCGGGATGTTTACTGAAGCGAAGGGTGGCAACGGCACCGCTCTGCGGAAGATCGTCGCCAAGACTGACAACGCTTTTCGACTCGTCAAAAGAATCTCAGGGAGACATAGAGGCCTTAAGGAAGACAATTTGTTGAGGCCCATCAATGTGTTTGTGCTTGCCACTTTACCTACACCATTGCCATGCACAACTGGCTTAGGTCGGAGTGGGACAAGCTGGATTATCAGAAAGATCGTCAAGAAAGCACTGGGGCTTCCCGTTCGCACAAACACCGAGAGCTTGCTCGTGCTCGGTGTTTACCGAGCACGAGCAAGTGCTCGGTGCTGCCGCAGCTGCTTGTGCTCGGTGCTGCCGAGGTAGCGGAAGCGCAGCAACGCTCGCAGCTGGCTCGCTTGTCCACTACGACGGCTGGTCGACGCATACTTGGCGAGAGAGAGAGAGATAAAGATGCAAGGAAAGGCAGGGAGGTTAACCAGACGCACATCCGGTTTGCTACCCTGCACTGGGGAAGGGATAAAGGGGAGAAAAGAGTTGCAGAAAGATGAGAAGGTACACACAATCACGAGCACACTCGGGGAGCACACACATTCTACAGGCGGTCGCTCAGGTTTGTTGACTTAAGGTAAAGTAGCAGTGCTTTAGTCGCTTTCTGCGCAACTGAGGCAGATGCCCAAGGTCCTAGTATCTTCTGCACACAAAATGGTCCGGGGTCAAGTTGATTCAAAACCATCCGGAGCTGGCATCGCTGTGTGTCGTAGCAAGCGCAGCTGCACAGGACGTGTTCAATGGAGCTGAAGAGACCATACTTGGCGAGCTAGGTTTTAACCCTATGGAGCTGGAAACAAATAGCGTGCGTATATCAAAACACATACAAGAAAACGTCATTTTTGCCCAATACCCCACAACACTCACCCTCCCAATCCCAATAAAGAAGGGTGTAAGGCAAGGAAACACAGACCTTTGCGTGAAGCAATGCGCGTGTATTGTTGGAAAAGTGCACTAGACTGGCTACCTTGACTAAGGTGCATGCCCCTTGTGGTTATGCTACAGTAAAATCAAAGTTCTGTAATGAAAAAAAATTTGCAAGCCAAAGATTGAACTAAAATGTCAGCTTCGCGATTTGACAGTGTTGAGCAGTAACATTAGCCAGAATTTATACCAGCTATTTAATACAGATTTGTTGCTTAGAGTCAGGAAATTTTTATTCTAGGAAATATATTTTCGAAAGCCCGCCACATGTTTAAAGTGTCGAGATGACCTCCCCAGCGAGTTTTCAGTAGCTTTGGTTTTGCTCGTAGCGTTACATCAGACACAGGGTCGCATATAGTTTCACTCCTATTGCGTATTCATCACGTGCACATGGGTGCGCAACAGTGCTGCAAACCCCGCGTGCCACTCGAAACTGTCTTACAACCCCACCTGAATTGAGTGAGGACGAGCTTAGAGTTCAACGATGACAGCAACTCAGATTCAAGTTTTGTGGAGACAATGTTTAGCCTGAGACATCTATACCCATTGCGGGGATCTGAGGCGCGACCATTTCGCGGGCATTCCGCCACACGGCCACACCCTTTTGCTTTTTCTGCTTTTCATTGTTCTGGTCTCGTTATTAGCAATAACTAGAGATAAAATGGAGTCCATCCAAAATCATGCAGCCCGTTTCATAACTTTGCAGTACAATCGCTCTTCCAGGTTCAAATACGACGCCCTTTCTAACTTGAATTCCCGCCACTCTGTCACCCTTCTATGCATCTTCTATAGGTACCACTACAACTCGTGGAGCAGTCGCCTCTCCATTGAAGTTGCTCCGTGTACATCACGTCGTCTCCGTAATCATCTCAGTTTCAGACGCATCTTCGGCCACTCACGGCCATTCAATAGTTCTGCATTGCCACGCGCAATCGCACTTCGGAATAGTCTCCCCGGTGAGATTGTTTCCTTATGAGACCTTGCGAAATTTCGTGAGCAAGTTTATATGTTCCCATGATCTTTGTAAAAAGATTTTTTCCTTTTGTACTTTACTACCTATGATAGCATTTGTTCTTTTACCTTACATTGTAAATTTTCTTCGTTTCTTCCTCAATGTAGTTTCTTGCGGTGGTCTAGTGGCTAAGGTACTCGGCTGCTGACCCGCAGGGCGCGGGTTCGAATCCCGGCTGCGGCGGCTGCATTTCCGATGGAGGCGGAAATGTTGTAGGCCCGTGTGCTCAGATTTGGGTGCACGTTAAAGAACCCCAGGTGGTCAAAATTTCCGGAGCCCTCCCCTACGGCGTCTCTCATAATCATATCGTGGTTTTGGGACGTTAAATCCCACAAATCAATCAATGTAGTTTCTTTTTATGCACTATTTACTGTGATTTTTCTGTAACCCTCCCCCCCCCCTACTCAATGCTCTTCGAGGCCTGTAGGGAATATGAATATATAAATAAATAATGACGATAGCCATAAGCAACGTGATGATGATTTTTCGCATCACTTGTACTGACGCCGACGGTCGCCTTCAGCGTTTGATTCCGAAGGCGAGATGATTTGTGCGGGCACACGCGCATTACCTAAAATACACAAAAAATAATATAGGCTAGAACATATACAAAATCAATTTCGAAACGCACCTTATTGTAAACGACCAACCGCAACGTGTGTCCTTGGCTCGGATAGTGCATTTTTAGAGGGTCACGCACATTTTCGTTGATTGATATGTGGGGTTTAACGTCCCAAAACCACTTCATGATTATGAGAGACGCCGTAGTGGAGGGCTCCGGAAATTTAGACCACCTGGGGTTCTTTAACGTGCACCCAAATCTGAGCACACGGGCTTACGACATTTCCGCCTCCATCGGAAATGCAGCCGCCGCAGCCGCGATTCGATCCCGTGACCTGCGGGTCAGCAGCCGAGAACCTTAGCCACTAGACCACCGCGGCGGGGCACGCACATTTACATTTATTTATTTATTTATACAAGTACCTCACGGGTTCCACGAGGGAACATTGCGTGAGGGGGGGGTACATTTTGATTTTCAAAGAGCGATGAAAATATATACATATGCAAAAGTCTGGCTGCGTAAAAATAGAAAAGATACGAAAGAAGCAGCAAACAATAACATTATATAATTCGGAACGATAATACGCAAGTATGCAATACAAAATTGTGAAATATTTTTCTATAAAAGCCAAAAAGCACTTGGCTGCGCAGAAAAGATACAGATGAAAGAAAATAGCAAACAATAACGTTATACAATTCCAAACGATACTACATAACTATATAATACAAGAAGCGTTACAGTGTTAGAGGCAACCGCGTTAAGAATCAGAAACTAGCAGGAGTACAATAGGTAAGGCGCACACAACTAGAGTTCAAGAGGCAGTTTTTCAAGCAAGCCTTTAAAGATCTCGGTTTCTTTCACGTTTGCTATACTTTCAGGAAGATTGTTCCAGAGTACAATGGCACGTGGTAATGAAGATGAATTATAGGCGTTAGTGTGCCCGTATAGACGCTGAAAACTGAGGTTATGCTGCAAACGACGGGAATATCGATGAGGTTTGAGAAGTGGCAAGGAAAAACTGTGCTTGCTGTTGATGATTCTGTGCAACAGACATAAAAGAGAAATGTTTCTGCGGGAGGC